ATCGCGTTAATGCGGGGATTATACTTTCGCGTATTAACGCTGCGCAATTAAAAATTATGAACGTCAATCTAAATAACCGGCTGATTTGGCTTAATAACGTTATCGCTTTCATCTGCAGACGGTGTTGCTTGTACGCTTTAACTTGCTACAATTCACATGTGAATCTGAAACAATTTAGCAAAATTATGCGCGTGACATAATTTAATAAAAAATGGTTTCTGCATTTAAATATCAGATTTATTCAGAAATTATTTTCGCATATACTTATACCGATGGGGTTTATACAGATTATAGAAATAACCAGATTTGTTTGTTGAACGCGATTTTATAATTAAATTTCTCTTTCACCGAAATACACCGAAATATATTATACGCAAAAATTTCCATCCTTTTCAAGATAATTTTCTTTAATAATATTTTATAAACGGTACAATGTTTTAATATAAATATATTTCGGCATTAGCTACCACTTTTTTCATCCTTTTGGGCAAAAGATGGATACTGCGATAAAAGAGCGATCTGAACGGTGGAAACTTTTGCGTGTCTCTAATTAATTCTTCAAGGTGTTTTTCTCGTGTAGAAATCTTGTAATTTTTGCAGATTCTGACACAATCAGGCCTTGTGTTTCTGAAGGATTTTATCAAAATTTGAAAAATTGAAGCTTTAAACGTTTTCTTGAATTTTTCATGCATTTCTCAAAGCGAGCGGGAAATGGCGTCTCGCGCAACGGTCGAAATCTGTTCGACGAATAATTCTGCTTTTCCGCCTCGGGAAAGCGATGTAGGAACTGCATCCTGCTTCTTCCGGAGCGTCCACTGTCGTGTCGAACACGCGCCAGTGCTCACCGACAATGGCGTACATTATCGGTTCCTTCAGAAGTACACGTAGATTCACACTTACGATAATGAGAAGAGCCGCGCCGCGTTTCCGCGACATAAATTAAGATCTGACATTTGACCCTCGAGTAACGGTGTAATTCGGATAAATACTGGAATTAGATAAGTGTCAAAGTTGGGATTGGATAAATGTCAGTCCGAGACTGCGATAAATAAATGACATTATTTCACATAGGCGTTAAAGTCCTACGCGTATCTTTTCCGCTCGTCAGACGGAATTCCGGTATATATTTTACGTTGACACCGGAATGAAAGCTATTATACGTTGTCGTAATTGGTATTTTTCAATCGGCAAATATAAATGGAAACACGCCGGATTGTTTGTGAATAAACGGTTGGCCCAGATTTAATTGCGTTTATTGGAGCTCGATGATCGCTAATAAATACTATCGAAACGGGCTGTATATCGGTTACGATATTGTCGAGCGCGATAATATCGTTAGCGTCGCATCGTGCCGTTTATTCGAACGTGCAGCACTTTCGGCGCATTTACCGCACACCGTTGATTCCCGAACAAAGGCGAGTAGTCCCGCGCGAATGTAGCGTAATCGATTTATTAGCAAACTGATGGATTACAGCGTCGAAAATCTCTCTGCTTGAGTTGAAAAAGACCGAACGCGATACACAATATTGCCGCTAGTCGGAATTGTACGGATTTTGCAATCGTTGCGCGAAATGGAATCTTACTGTCCGCCAGCAGCAAATTGATTGTCACAATTCGTAGCTAATCAAAATTTTACTGAAAAAAAACATAAATTATTATCATATTAAAAAAGTAGCTATGTCAGCCCAGAGCTGGGTGTTGGTTGCTCAGTAAAGAAAAGTTAACAATTAGTTAATTCAAACGTTTCGGCTCATTTATTTTGGCCATCCTCAGTGAAAATTCATAACAGCGAACGAACATTCGAGAAAGAAAGTGACATGAAAATAATTAATAAAAATAAGTATGCGCCGCAAGATTATCGCATTTCGGTTACAGAATTCAGCCGTTTGCAATAAGCATACATCAACTTGGTATGAAATAAAAAAAGATAAATTATTATTCAAAAGAATGAAACATATAATATATATCTGTGTTTGATTCTGTCGGACGAGGAAAGCGGAGTTGGCGAGAATAAACGCGATGTAAGAAAATAGCGCTCAGATTTATTCGTGCGTGACCATTTAACACGGGTTTCTAATAAGCGACATGCTTCTGTCGAGCGAAAACTGAAAAACTTTGACATACTGTTAACCGATTACCGTGTATGCGATTACAGCGCGCTCGTAAAACTTCCGGCTTGCTTTCTCGAGGTTATAGATCGACTAATAAATCAACCGCTGGAGAATAATCACGCACACACATTTCCACACGCGCGTATTTACGCGCTCTTCGTTTGTACTCGTGAGAAAAATGTATCTTCTAAAACTTTTTTTTTTTTTTAATTTTTGCGCGCAATTTTCGCGATGCTCAGTTAATATGCATTATCTTTTTCTACAAGCGATTTTGATACTCCAGTGAAATGAGGATGTAAGCTGACGCGGTATTCATTTACGAGGATTTGCGAGTAGGATTACATTACTTCCAAAATAAGCCGCTCGTAATTAAACTCGAGACGTCTCGACGTGCGGAACGAGCGTGTCTGAACGAACGTGTCTGACTATGGCGTGTCATTATCTACTCGTCAAGCGCGTCTATTTTCCCCTACTTAAAAAAATTTAACATAACAAAATCTTGCTATTAATATCTAATCAGTATCCTCGTAACGCAACGTCAACGTCGATCACAATCAATCCTGAAGCCTGGTTAAATCCCGATGTACGCTTGAATCTCCCACAACAAGATCTAAGTTTGAGCCGACTCTCTGTGTCGTCTATGTGTGTCAAACACTTTTTACAAATACCAAAGAAACGCTGGGGTGTAAAAGCTCAATCGGAAAATTGAACTCTGCTCATTTCGCCGATCAGTTTTTGTTTCTCAGTGCAGCGCATTTGACTTTGATATATTGTTAAATTTATTGGCCGAGGGAAGGAAAAAATATGGCGCAGAAGATTTAATCGGCAAATTGCATTCCAGCTACTTCACTTTATCGATCAACTTTTCGACGCCTCGTCCAATAACTTTAATAATAACCGGAGCTGAATGCTATATTGAGGAGCGCGGACATCCAGAATTAACACTCGAGGGCTGCAAATCAAATACATTCGGCTAGAATCGGAAATGTCGCGATAAACAATTCACGAAGACTTTCTGCTGTTACTTGGCGACCGTTATCTGTTATGTCGATTCACATAGGAATAGTCGATCCCAGCGTGTATCGTAACGGATTTGCTTATTAGCGAATAAGCCTGCCGCGATCGGAGGATGAGAAACGGTTAATTCCTGCAGATTCCTGCAATCTTCATTATTTCCTTTCATTGTAGTTTGCAAAAATGCAGACGCGAAAGAAATAGCGCCGCGCGACGAGTGGCGTAACGGGGTTGCTTCGCGATTGTCCTCGCTCGATGCTCGCGCAAGCCGAGCGAGCCGGGTACCGTTCGGCTCCGAGCGGCGCTCCACAGACGTCATAAAATCACGTCGCGCGCGGCTGTCGGATCAGAATCGTCCCCAGGTTTCTCTGTTTCTTTTTCCCCCCTGCTCTCTCCCTCTCGTCCCACCCGACGTTTCCTTCTCTATCCCTCTTCGGCGCAGATAACAACATCTTCTGGTGGAGAGATTTCGCGAGAGAGCACAACGGTACACACGGTTGCAAGCTACGATCTCCTATATACGGCTCCCTTTGCCGACGGCCCCGTTTCGCTCCTTTTTGCCCGTCCTTTTTCATTTCTTCCCTACTCTACCTCTTCCTTCTCCTCCTCCTCCTTCTCCCGTTTCTGCTCCGCTCCGTCTAGTTGGGTGCAGTTACTGCTGCTGCTGCGCCCGCTGCTTCTTCTTCTTCTGCCCCCTTTCGTAACGGTGACGCCGGCTTCCCGTTACGCGTCCAGCCTGAACCGCCCATCTGATGAACGAATGCAGCGGCCTATTCCCTTCCACAGGCGAGCTTCGTTGCATTATGGATGCCGATCGGATGAGAGAAAGATGCCGCTAATGTTAGATGGATGCGGACAGCTCTTAGGAGAAGCCCATGTGATCGCGCATACAATCAACGAATCTTATTACGTGTTTGAGAAATTGATGTAGGAAAGAAGAGGCGACTCGCTGAATATAAGAATGCGGGATATTAATAGGAAATTACTGAAGAGATATGGAAGAATCTTCATCGATTCTTATAAATGGCGTTAGTCTTTTCAAATGTTACATTTGATGTGGAAAATTAAAGTGGCGAGTCAAAGTTATCGCGCTCAAAAAAATGTGTGATTAATTAAAACATATAGAATGTAATAAACGTTTCGGCCAGAGATTTTGGCCATTTTCGTTGTAATTAAAATACGCAAATTATTTTCCTTTAGAATCTTTCACCGGAGCGCGAATTGCGTCATGAAGGATAAAACGCGTTATCATACCAGTCGATTATTAAAAGTGAAATAAATGAAAATTCTTCAAAAATGGAAAGTCAAATGATGTTAATGCTAAGGGAAAATGAAAGTCAAACAATAAAACTAAATAGCGTCATTAAAATGAACTGAAACTTTTTCAGTGCGATAACCTTGCTTTGGTTTTTTAAATCCATTATGCTCTAGTTATTATCTGCCCGAGCAGATAAAAAAATAATCTTTTATTATTTAAATTTATTTTTATTTTATCAATTTTTTTACTAAATCTAGAAGCAAATTAAACAACTTTATGAAATATTAGGTTACGTAATAAGTAATTTTGGATTTTTCAAATAAATCTACTTTTTTTTTTTTTTTTTTTTTTGTTAAGCAAAGTGCAACTTGATTAAATATTTGTTTGTCGTAGTTGCCATCAAGTTTCGCCCATTTTTATTAGAAAATCCGAAATTATTTATTATACAATTCAGTATATCTCTCGCTTACAAATGTCTTATTTTTTTCTATTAATAAAAGACTTGATCACAATTTATTTTACAACCAATTTTATTGAATATATAACATAATAAGAAAAAATATACACACATATACAAGAGCATGATTAACAATGCATCTTTCTTTGTTGATTTACAGAGCAACATTACGCGGCAGCTGATTCCAACAGTTCGACACCCGCTAAGAGCTTTGTACCCTGCAAGGTCTGCGGTGATAAGGCGAGCGGTTATCATTACGGCGTTACTAGCTGCGAGGGTTGCAAAGTGAGTATCACGAATAGATTATCGAATCACGCTGGATGCTTCGGATGAAAAGCTCGATGCGTAAATTATAACGTTTATAGTGATTTTCACATTATATCATCGTCGAGAAAATTGCTGCTTCTCTCCGTTTGCGAATATTCCGTCTCCTTCGCGATGATTTTCTATCGCGCGCCCTGATAACTCGTCTAGAAAAATCAGCCTTCAAGCTATATTTAAATCTGCACAGTATCGTTCATTAATGACTCGAAAAGCAACTTGTATTCTATTTTTTGCCATTATAATAATAAAAAGAACGACAATAATTGTGACGTGACGAGAAAATTGGATCCGTCTTAGGATTATAAATCTTGGAAAGCTGTATTAAGAAATTATCTTGAGAGTTTTTTTTTTGGCAATTCTGCTGAAAATTCATCGATTTCGCTTCATGGCGCGGCCGAGTACGGTCGATTTGCATGTCGATCGGATAATCATTTGCGAAACGACTCGTTCGCACTTCGGGGCAGGATATTTATCGGTGCGCGCGCTCACGTCTTGAACATCGTGGGAGATCCACATCCGCCGCAAATCGGCGGGGCCGCTCTTCTCTCCGCCTCCGTGTGCCGCTGCACGCCTGAGATTTCAAACGCGGAAGCCCTAAGGCCAGAGTTAACGGTGAAGTGGTGCATTCTCGCATTCACGCTAGCAGCAAATTCTGCAAGCTAACGTACGCAGACGCGTTTATTGAGCGCGCGCACACATACACATACACACGCACACATACGCGCGCGCGCGCCCATTTGATTCTGCAACAGTAGAGTTCGCCTAAAATTAATCGAGGAACGAGTCTTTGTTGCTTGTTTACACATTTCAAGCTCGGTTTGCGAAAATTTTCCTACTTAGAAGGATAATTGAAAAAAAAGTTCGATGTTGCGCGAGTTACATTTTCGCTTCTTCTCGTATTTACGCAAAGCACGTGTGTTAAGTGAAGATATTTAGTAGATATGCGGGGCAAATATTCTTCTGATTCGAGTTGTAAGGTTAAGTGATGAAAGAAAAGCTGGTGAAATTATTGATATAAATTTCTCTCGATTAATTTGTTGCTTATTATCTAAACTTTATAATTAACTAATAACGTTGAATTAAGAAACTAAACGTTAGGCGCGTATTTGAAGATTGTGAAAGACTTGAAATGCGAGAAATCGATGAAACAGGTTGCCATTGTGTTCTGTGTGTACGAAAAGAATACGCCTGATCACGCGCAGGTTATTACTACTGCGCGGCGCGCCGCTACATTTCGTCTGACATGCACAGCGTTTTTACTACTAACTCCGCGCAATGCGATTCCAGCCGCAAACGTGGCTTTTTCCTCGTTTATTGGAAGTTCTCTCGCACAACGTTTATTTTGCCGAATACAATTTGAATGCACAATTTTTTTTCGCAATTGCTTTATGGATTTTGTGATATACATCTTTGGAAACAAATAGTGAAATTTGACAAGTTAAAAGATTTTTATTTTTTATTTTGCCGCTTTTTATTTTATATTTTCTACAATTGGCTTGGAATTTTTAGCTCAGTTTCTCTCGGCCTCAAAATTTCAAACCTTTGAGAGATTTATTTTATACTATTTTAAGAGGTTTAATTATTTAATACAAATTATTTATATTAGTCGGAGTTAATGTTATTGGAGTAAATTGAAGTAAAATTGAAAAACTATATTTATTCCGCTAAGATAGCATCAATTAAACTTGTAATTTCTATTTCACGCAACTTGGCAATATAAATTTTTGTGACAAAAGGCGCTAGGAATACAAATAAAAAATGTCGTACATATTTCTGGACAGCAATATTTCGTATTTCAAGAGTTCTGTGAAAAAATCCTAAGTTGAATTATTTTCAACAATTAAGATATTATTTCAGTTTTTGTGAATGCGTTTTGTAAAAAATTGGCACCTCAGAATTTGAATAATCTGATTTTTCAGTTGCCGGACGCATTTATAATTCCAATAGATGGAATTCTTCCGGGTGTATTCAACTTCAATAAAACAACTTCAATGGAAGAATTAAGTTTGTTAAAGATGAGGTGCTGCCAGCTTTACAGACGTGACAAAGACAAACAGGCGGACGCGGTATAACATATCGATTTTAGAAATGAGCTAGGGCCGCGCGCGCCATCGGTTACCAGTAGTATCGACAGCTATATTACAAGCAGTCGACCCATTGGGTATTCCGGGATATTGAATGCGCTGGATGTACGTCGGCGTTGTTGTACGACACCGTTATGAATACCTTCCCTCAATTAGCACTGATGATAATAAGCCAATAAACCGATGCTTTCGCGACCGTTCACAACTTGTCCGCATGCCGCTTCCATTATTCCATTACTTCCGTGTGAGCTTTTCGCTCCGCAAAGCCGCGGCCGACTGCTGTTTGCGTAACACATATTAGCGAACATTAAAGTAAGGCCGCATTCGCTATTCTAGTGAATCGTTCGCGCTACAAATGCTAAAGCATATGCCAAAAGTAATCGCGGTTTTAGAGAATTTTATTCTTTTTTTAATTTTGGGCAAAATTTTAACAGAATTTAAGTCAATGATGAAAACAATTATTCAGGATTTGTATTTCTTTATTATAAAATAATATAATTTTGTTCGACATTACTTGAATTAAATTAATTCGATCAAGGCTATCGGCCAATATTTGTTGTTATTCCATTCAGTCAGTTTTTGAGGCCATCAGCCGATTCGCGTCATTTGTTTCTCGCTTGTTATTCCAAGCCAATACTGATATTGTTAGTCGAAAAATATTAATATTTGTGCGATCAGAAAAATATGAATTAACGCTCAAATTTAAAATAAATATAGCGTTGATATTATTCACAGGCGACCCACGAAGACTCCTTAATTTTCAAATAAAAAGCAATAGAAATTGAAACTTGACAATTAACAAAGTGTTATATAGCGATCTCTATCACTTGTACAGATTTTAACGAGAACCAGTTCACTTAAACAATATTCGAAAAATGTGCCACGAATGATTGAGGAAAAATTGACTCCAAATTTTTTGGAGAATTCTAAAAGAATATTCAGTTACACAATTGTGTCTTAAATTATCTCGTTAACCGTTTAAATTTCGATACAATCGATACAGCGCAAGGTTCTGCCAAGGAAGGGAACGCGATAACGACTCGAAAACACGCTTTTCTTGTGAACGCGTTATCGCTTATCTCTCTCTCTCTCTCGCTTTTCCTGAACTCCCAGCGTTACAAAGAAGGGTACTGAGCATCGTATTTTATACGCGACGAGATATAATTAACCCCG